TCTCACTGTGATCAGTTCTGCTCCATTTGCAGATTGGAGCTCATTGTCCCATTCCAGCTTTAGCCCATGCAGTCCCATCCTGCTTGTTTTGCTCTCTTCATTCTGCCATTGTTTATACTCTTGGGCCTGAGATTTGGATCATTTGTCCTTGGTCCCCAGCTAGAGCAGGAATTGTTTTGTCTCCCTGCTCTGGGCAGAGAGCTCATCATCCCCTAATATGAAACCCAGACCCACACACTAAAGCAGCACAGAATCTGGAAAATAGAAAAGCTAAAACCTGAGGCATCAAAACAGGCTGTGCAGGGCTGTGTGGTGGGGGAATAATGTTCCTGCTGTGCCCCCTGGGGACTCACTCCCTCCAGGTGTGTCCTGGGGAGGTTGGAGTGTCTTTGCTCCCCTTCAGGCAGAGAATGGGTCCAGGCTGGCAGGAGCTGGGCAGCCACAGAGGCAGTGCTGGCAGGACTTTCAGTGCCTGCACACCCTGGCATGAGGAGGGGAAGGCTGGGCAGGGATCCCCAGCCCTGAGCTCTCAATTTCTGGGGCTGTGGGCACAGAAGGCTTTGTGGGAACACGTGGGATGCTTGGCTGGAGGAGGCTGGAGATGCAGAGCTGGAACTCAGTTTGCTGTGGCTGCATCTTGTCAGTGTGGCTGCCATCCTCTTCCTAAGGCAGGAAAATGAGATTTGTTTTCCAACAGGGATGAAACCCCCATCCCCCTGGCCTCTGGTGCTGGGGGGACGGGGGGGGCTCCCAGGCCCAGGTGATCCTTGTGTGAGCCCGGCCCGCGGCGGGCGCCGCTTCAGCACCGCGAGCAGGGACAGCTCCGGGAGCCGGGGCGGGCCGGGCAGCCCTTCCCTTCCCTTCCCTTCCCTTCCCTTCCCTTCCCATCCCATCCCGCCTCAGCTGTGCCCAGTCAGACACAGCTCCTGGACTGGCACAGAGCGACCAGAGAACCACGAGGGGCTCAGGACCCTCCCCACTGCTCCCTTTCTTTGACACCAGCAGTGGAAGGGTTACCACGAAATCCTTCTGTGCAGAGCTTCTGGAATTCCAGATCCTCAGTGTGCTGGAGAGAAGCGCAGCAGGAATTGGAAATATTTGACCCCAGTAATGGGGTGGCATTGCTGGACATTATTTTGGACATGGTTCATGGAGCCTGGGGGGTGAGGGCAGCTCTGGGTGCTTCAGCCTTGGGGTCACACGAGGACACCACAGGGAGGGCAGGGATGCTGCTCCAGCCTTGTCTTGTCGAGGAAAGGGATGGACCTCTCCTGGTGGATCTCCTGGGGAGCAGCCAGCCCTCCTGCATGATGTGGAGGCTCCTTCCTCGCCCTCCCGCTGCTGTCCTGCCTCTCCCAGAGCTCACGGTGACATCCTGTGGTTTCTGTGTCCCTTGAGGAGCTGGCACGGGGCTGGCCATGGGGACAGCAGTCTGCTGTGACAGCTGGGCTGTGCTCCCCAGCTGCTCCCTTCACAACCCCTGATCCCTTCCTGATCGTCTGCGGAGCTGGGTCAGTTCAGCCAGGCAGCAGCAAAGCCGGTGAGGAAATGCCTGCCCAGGGAGCTGAATCGGCTCCCTGAAGCACCAAACGACCTTTAGACCAAAATTAAAGGAGAGAATGCAGTTCCCTGGTTTTCAGCTCATCTTCCTCAGCCAGTGCTGACCTGTTCCAGTGGCAGGGTGAGGAATCACCTCCTGCAGTGAGTGGCTGCAGTGCAGGCGCTGTGTGCACCTTGCCCTGCTCAGCTCCTTCCTCCCACACCTGTGGCTCCCCTTGGGGGTCCTGCGTGCTGACAGCTGGAGAAGGTCCCTTCCTCATCCTGGCAGCTGCATTTCCAGTTGGGAAAGGCAGCCTGGAGCATTAGGATTGCCTGAGTGTACCCAAACCAGGCTGTCAGCATGGCCTGGATCCCCAGCATGAGCCTCAGTTGTTTTCCAGCCTGATGGGACACACCCCTGTTAGACAGGAAATGACCTAGAGCCTCAGTGAAAAGCACTTTGTTTCTTTTGGGGCACTTTAATTGATTTGCACCCCTGCAGCAGTGCAGGAGCCCCTGGGGCATCACTGCAGCTGCAGCTGTCCCCGGGGCAGGGCAGCGCTTCAGTCACTCCTGCAGTGACACCGGGATGGCTGCCACCTCTCTACTGGAATTTCCTGTGCACGTACTCAGCCCCGTGCTCCTGGTACTCGTCCTTTGTCATCCACGTGTGCTGGAAGGACGTGAGCGAGGCTGCCATGGAGCCCCCGGCCCAGGCTGCCGTGCCCCTCCTGGGGTTCGCCAGCACCTCGATGTGGACACCCGCTCCTTGGAAAAGGAAGTTCAGCTCCAAGCACATCCTCTCAGGAAAGCCAGGAAACATGGAGGAGCCTCCTGAGAGCACGATGTTGCCCAGCACGTGTCTCCTGGCCTGCTTGGGCAGTGTCTGCAGGCTCTGCCCGGCCAGCTGGTGCAGGCCGGGGCAGCTGAGCTGCAGCAGCTCGGGCCGGAACAGCGGCTCCGGGCAGCAGAAGCGCTCCTTGCCCAGGGTGATCCAGCGCCCATCGGGGGTCTGGAACCTGGCTGGGGAATGGGAATCCTCCTGCTGGAGGTCTCCCTCGTAGTCCAAGGACACGTAGCAGCATTGCTCCTTCAGCTGGGTCAGCACCTTCTTCGTCAGGGCCTGCAGCGCCAAGGGCTCCTCGGGGCTCTGCAGCAGCAGCCGGTGCAGGTACCGGGACAGGTGGTCCCCGGCCACCCCCAGGCAGCGGGTGCCCTTCCTCAGGGTCTGGCCCCCCCAGACGGAGGTGACGTGGGACACCGCCGCTCCAGCCTCCACGGCCAGCCCGGTGACCCTGCCGTGGGCGCAGAGCGACAGGAAGCCGGTGTTGGCCAGGTGCAGGGCGGGCACGCCGAAGCTCTCGAACAGCACCTCGGCCGCCTTCGCCCTGTCGGTGGCGGGGCAGGACGGGGACTCGGCCAGGAGCACCGGGTGCTCCTCTGGGGACACTTTGAGGTAGCAGCAGAAGAGGTGGCTCCACAGGGCTCTCATGCCGTCCCAGTCCTCAACGAGGCCGTACTTGAGCGGGCAGCACCGCAGGGCTGCGGCCGAGCATCGCGGGCTCTCCGTGCCAGGGCAGGGCTGCCACGGGCTGCCCACGCTGCAGGGCTGCACCAGCACCGTCCTCAGCACGCACTGGGGCTGCTCCTGGCCCGCAAAGCCCCCCCGTGTGAAGCGGCTGCCGCTGTCTATGACCACGGCGGGCTTCAGCATGGCTGGCACTCCGCAGGGATGCCGGGCACGGAGGAAGAGCCTGCGGTGGGACAAGAGGGGTCTGGTGAGGGCAAACCAGGCTCAGGTGCCTGCTCTGCAAGAGGGGTGGCTCAGCCCCACTGGAGGACAGAAGTGCCTGCTCTGGAAGTGTCTGGGTATGTCCCTCCTGGCTCCTCGCTCCCTGTCTCACTGATCATCCCTCCTTGTCTCCAGAGGTTTTCTAACAGTGCAAGGACAGAGTTCAGGTGGTTTTAAGGAAGCAAGTGAACACTTGAGAGGAAGGTTGAGTGGTTGGACCAAATCCTGGGCTGTATCTGAAGGAGAGAAGCCAGTAGGTCGAAGATGACTCTTCTCATCTACTCTGCTCTTGTGAGACCCCATTTGGAATATTGTGCACAGCTCTGGTGTCTCCAGCATTAAGAAAGACATGGAACTGTTGGAGCAATTTCAGAGGAGGCCACAGAGTTTCTGAGGGCAGTGGAGCACCTCCCCTCTGGAGACAGGCTGAGAGAGCTGGGGCTCTTGAGGCTGGAGCAGAGAAGGTTGTGTGGAGACCTCCCAGCGCCTTCCCAGAGAGTGAAGGGGCTACAGGGAAGTGGGAGAGTGACCCTTTGTCAGGAACTCTGGTGACAGGACAAGGGGAATGGGATCAAACTGAAAGAGGGGAAATTTATGCTGGATATTAAATGCATGAGGTGGGCAGGCCCTGGCACAGGGTGCCCAGAGCAGCTGTGGCTGCCCCTGGATCCCTGGAAGTGACCAAGACCAGGTTGGATGGGGCTTGGAGTAGCCTGGGATAGTGGAATCTATCCCCCCCCCATGGCAGAGGGGGATTGGAACTGGATGATCTCTGAGGTCCATTCCAATCCCTTAACATCCTATAATTCTATAAATGCTGCTGCCAGCAGAGCCCATAGCACACGGAGAGGAGCTGAGAGGATCTGTGTTCCCAGCTGGCAGAGAAGGGCAGGAGTTTGGGGTGCCTCTGTGTGTCCAGGCCCTTCCCTGGCTCTCTGTGCCTCTCAGACCTTCTCCTGTGGCGTGGTGTGCCTCTTGGCACATTCTTTGGGCACTCTCCAGGCCAGGTGACCTCTTTGTTGTCCCCAAAGCTTTTCACATGCCCCTCTGGATGCACTTTTACACCCCCAGTGTAAGGACCTGTCAGAAATTCATCAGGGAATGTCTCATGGCAGCAGACAGGCTGGCACTGTTTCCCTGGGCAGAGAGGGCACAAAGCCAGCCCCTGCCTGGGCCTGCCAGTGGTGGAGGGTCCCTGCAGGAGCTGCCAGCACCCAGGGGGCCCCCACAGGCTCCCAGCCTTGTCCCCAGCCCTGCAGTGGGCAGAGCAGTGTGTGAGCAGGAGGCACAGGGGATGCTGTGCCAGCCCTGGGGCCCTCCCCGGGCTGGGGGCTGTCCCTGAGAGTGACCTTGACCTTGTGGCTTGTGTCCATCTGCCCTCCTCCACAGCTCCTGGAGCTGGCAGTGCTGGGCCAGGGCTGGCAGTGCTGGGGCAGCGGTGCCCATGGAACCATGGCTGCATTCCCTGTTGTGATCTCACAGCAACGCACCCCGAGGGTTCTCCTGCCCCACAGCCACACTTCTGCCACCAAGTGTCACTTGTGGTGATAATTAAAAGTTGATTGAAACCCACCCCGTTTGGTTTATTTAAGGGACAGCCCCTTCCAGGTGTGGCTCTGCTGCCCCTGCACAGAGGCAGATCTGACAGATCCTGTCCCCTCTCCTCCAGAGGTACGAGACAGCCTCGAAGATGGAGCAGTTCCTGACGCGGTTCCTGCTGCGGGAAACCATGCACCAGCTGCAGTCCCTGCAGGCGTCCCTCGAGTGCGCCGTGGACACCGTGGAGGAGCAGGCGGGACGGGAGAGGTACCGGGATGGGAGAGGAACCGGGACGGGAGAGGAACCGGGACGGGAGAGGAACTGGGACGGGAGAGGAACCGGGACGGGATGGGAGAGGAACCGGGATGGGAGAGGTACCGGGACAGGAGAGGAACCGGGTGGGATGGCAGTGGTACCAGGTGGCACATGCCCAGCCCCTGTCCCCAGCCCCCTCCTCACTGGGAGGGACAGCCAGGAGCCCTTTCCCAGCCCAGTGCTGAGCTGACACCTCTAGGAATGACTTCAACCCCTCCTTTTGCTTTTTTTTTTTTTGTTTAAATTCCAGAAAGGAGGTCAAGAAATCGGAGACTTCGGTTGGCCTGAGGTCAGGGAGGCGGTGTGGGCGCAGGGGACAGAAGAACATCTGCCTGTCCCCAACAGACCCCTACTCTGGGATGCTGACAACAGGTACCTGCTGTTCCTCAGCTTCTTGGCGTCCTGCTGGAGCCTGGAGGGGTGTGGGACCAGCACAGAATCACAGTAAGGTGGGAAAAGATCTCCAAGATCGGGTCCAGCCATTCCCCCAGCACTGCCAAGGCCACCACTAACCCGTGTCCCCAAGTGCCACATCTCCATCAGCTCAGGGCACTGTGGGCTCCTCCAGGATGGGGCCTGGAGCATCTTGCCCAGATGCCAGCTGGAACTTCTGTGAATGTTGTATCTCTTGGTCAATAGAAAAAAAAAAAATCAAGTTTTTTGGATTAAATCCAAGGTTTAGAAGATTTTGTGGGTTTTGGGTCTTGAGCAAGCTTTGACCGTGACAAAACTGAGCTTTTTCTGAGTGACACCTCTGTGCCCTTTGCCCTGCAGGTGTTTGTGTCGAGGACAACAGCCAGTGGATGGCTCAGATCAACAGGCTCCAGCAGCTCATCGAGAAGCTGGAGTGCCAGGTGTGTGCCCAGGGGGTGCTGGGGCTGCCCCACACCTGGGCACGGCCACGTCAGTGCGGGGACCCCCCTCCCATGCCAGCAGCCCCCTCTCCAGCCCTGGCATTGTCACAGAGCTGCACCGGCCCCAGCCCTGCATCCCCTTCCCCCAGCTCTGCTGACCCTGTCCTGGCTTCCCCTGGTGCTGAGGAGTCCATCAGGCCCCAGTGACCCCACAGGGGTGCAGGGCACAGCCCTGCCCTCCCCCAGGTGCCACAGGGAGTGTCCCTGGGGTGGCACCCAGCTGTCCCCGGGGTCGGTGCCACTCCTGCTGCAGAGCTCTCCTGGTGACTCTGGTTTTACCCAGTAGCTCTGGTTTATCCCAGTAACTCCGGGTTTTCCTGGTAACTCTGGTTTTACCCAGTAACTCTGGTTTTACCCAGTAACACTGTTTCTTCCCCGGTGCTAACGCAGAGCCCCCGCCTGGAGCCACTGAAGGAGGAAGCCATGTGCAAGGGACAGGATGCAGTAAGTCCCCATCCCTGTCTGTGTCCCCATTCCTGTCCCTGTCCCCGTGGTTTGCAGTGACTCCTTTCACACGCTGCCCAGCCTGGGAGCTCTGCTGTGACCCGCTGATGGAGCAGGCTGAGATCCAGGGCTGGGATCCAGGGCTGGGATCCAGGGCTGGGACCATCCAGGGGACAAATCCCTCGTGTCCCTGCCAGCCCCGGGCAGTGCCCACAGCCAACCCTCTGCTTGTGAGAGCCCAAACCCCGGGGTGCTCGGAGTGCCCGCAGAGCCAGGTGGGGGGTCCCCCGGCCCCTTTCCGTGGGGGATCAGCAGCAGGACCCCCACGGGGAATGGAGCCTCTCCTGCTGCTGTGCTCCCTGCCTGCCCAGCTGGGGAGAGGCCGCTTTGTGTCCCCGCTGTCCCCAGCGCGGAGATGGCACAGGGTCGGGGGGAGCAGGGCGGGCAGGAGGGGACAGTCGCTGACACCGTGCTGTCCCTCGGCAGCACATCCTGGTGGCCAAGAGGCAGATCTCGGTGGCCACGAGCAGCATCGAGGAGTTCCGGCAGGCGTTCCGCTCCTACACCGAGGGCACGGCCGGGCACAGCAGCTGCCTGCAGTGAGTGCAGTGCTTGCTTTGGGGCTGCTTTGGGGGGCGGATCCCCCAGAAATGCGGGTGTTAGCATCCTCGGGGGACACGAGGGTTTGTGTGATGTTTTGTGTGCTGGCCAGGGAAAGGCTGGGCTGGGACCTGGCACCCAGCACCATCCCATCTGCTGCAGGTATTCCCAGTAAGAACCAGTGCCTGGCGAGCAGTGGGAGGGTTTGTGCCAGCCTGTGGCGTGTTCCTGTGAGTGCATGCACGAGCTCCTCCAGCGCTGAAGGACTCAAAAGCAGTGGGAAGGTCAAGGGCAGGGCTCCTGCAGAGCTCTGGTTGATGGAGAGCCTGTGGGAAGATGCCCCTGGGTGAGGCCAAGGCTGCCCCAGAGCCCTGCTGTGCCTGCAGGGCCGTGGCAGTGCCAGCCTGGCCCTGATGGCACAGCTGCTCCCTCCGCTCTCCCACGGGACACTCCAGGCTGCCTCCAGCAGGGAATGTTCCTGCTGTTCCCGTTTCGAGTGTCCTTTCTCAGCTCTTCACTTTCAACAGCACAAATTCACATTTTCAGTCCAAACAAAAGGAAGATGCTCGCTGACACGTGTGGTGGAGAGAATGAGAGGCTTTTTCTTTGGAACTGATGGGCTTTTTTGTCATCAGGGCTATGTGTGGAGGCAGGGTGGTGTGTGGGCTGGCTCTCCATGTGAGCCAAAAGCTGGAGCCGAGCCCCGGACACTCCAGGGGCTGGGTCCCTGCAGGGGATGGCAGAGCCCCGTGTGGGAGCAGGGCACACAGCCCCAGAGCTGCTGGGTGACACACTGTGCTGTCCCCCCGGGGCTTGGCCCCTTCCAGCAGCTGCAGGAAAGGCTTGGCCTCAGCTGGAATTGCTGCTGCTGCAGCCCAGCACAGCTGCTTCCCCTGGCCCTGCACCCCCAGCACTGCAGTCACCCCGGGCTGCCTCCCCACCACCACCCCAGCCTCTCCTGGGCACCAGGGAATGTGGGAATTATCACTCTGGGGGCAGAGAGCTGGGGGTTTGTGCTGTGAGCTCAGCTCCTGCCCCTGTGCCTCAGTTTCCCCCCGTGTGAAGGGTGACACCCACCTACTCCAAGGGGCTGGCAGAGCTGTGTCAGTGCTGGGGAGGAGTGAGAAATAATAAAACACAGAACGTGCTGGCTCTTGGGCAGCAGCAAAGACCAGTGAGAGAGCTGTAAAGCTCTTCTGCCCCCTGGACACAGGAGCTGTGGAGCAGGATTTGTGTTTGGGACCCTCTGGAGCTGTGAATGCACCCAAACTGTGCCTTGGGAGCTGATGGGGAGGCTGATGTGCACAGCAGTGCCCTGCTGCCCCAGGCTGCTGGGGCACACGTGGCCGTGCCATGCCAGGCTTGTGCCAGGGCCGTCTGGGCAGCAGCAAAGACCAGTCCAGTGAGAGAGCTGTAAAGCTCTTCTGCCCCCTGGACACAGGAGCTGTGGAGCAGGATTTGTGTTTGGGACCCTCTGGAGCTGTGAATGCACCCAAACTGTGCCTTGGGAGCTGATGGGGAGGCTGATGTGCACAGCAGCGCCCTGCTGCCCCAGGCTGCTGGGGCACACGTGGCCGTGCCATGCCAGGCTTGTGCCAGGGCCGTGCCAGGGCCGTGCCAGGCTCATGCCAGCCTGCCCTGCCCGGCTGAGGGTCACTCTGTCCCCACAGTGTCTCTGCCTGCAAGCTGACGGACGAGGCCTGCTTCATCCTCTACGAGTTCTGGCAGGACGTGACCTCGTGGAGAAGGTGGGACAGTGCCCACGGTGGGGCTGGGGGGCTCAAAGGGGGTGCCCACTGCTCCCTTCCCTTGCCCAGCCTGTCCCCCTGCTCTGCCCTGTGTGCCCTGGGGCCACCTGCAGCTCACAGGGGTGAGCACCCCGATAAAGGGTTTGGGGAGCAGGGCAGGAGCAGGGGCTGGTGCTGGGGGTGCAGAAGCTGCCCTGTGCCTGTGGGTGGGCACAGGGCCCCGGCACCACATCCCCCTGACCCCATGCCCTGTTTGACAGCCACTTGCAGTCCAGCTGCAGCAAGACTTTCCAGCAGTCCATCCTCAGCTTGCTGGAGTCCCCGGAGCTGCTGACCACCATGCTCTTCCCAGGTGAGGCTGCCTCAGCCCTGCTCTGGGTGTGCTGCAGAGGGCAGGAGCAGGGCAGGAGCAGGCACTGTGGCTCCCTTCAGGGCAGAAAATCGGTTTGGGGTGACCTAAATGAGGTCAAACCTCAGGGTGAGACCCGTTGTCTCCAGCAGGTTTGGCTGTGTGAGCTGGGGTCTGTCCCCTGCCCAAGGGTGGGGACAGCCAGGAGCAGGGACAAGCAGATAAGTCCTGATGCCTCGTTTTGTGTTTCCCCTGAGCCCTGAACCTGCTCTGCAAAGCGCTGGTGCTCCCAGCTCAGTGCCAGGGGTTCCAGCCCAGCGCTGGGGCAGGGGCAGGGCACATTCCCAGGGTACCCATGGAAGTGGGACCAGCTGTGGGGACTGGGAACCAAATTCAGCCCCAGTTTGCTTTCAGGGATCACTTGTAAAATATTACTCCATAAAACATGGATTAATTTGGACTGAACCCTGCACTGCTGGTGCTGCTCCCGAGTTGCCAGTGCCACTGAGCACATTCCCAGTGCTCTCCTGCAGAAGTTGCCACAGTTCCAGGGGCTCACCCCTCTCCAGGCTCCCTGCCCGGGGTGGGGATGGGTGCTTTAGAGCCAGGGACCTGCAGGGTGAGGTCCCCCATCTCTGCCACCCCAAATCCCCGTTCCCAGTTTCACACTGCCCTCAGCTCCCTGCTTTCCCTCTCTTCCCAGCTTCCTGGTGGATCATGAACAACAACTGACTCGGGGCAGCTCTCCAGGACACCATCAGCATGCGGGAGGAGTGGAGTCCTGGGCACAGCCTTTGTCACCTTTGTCAACCTCCCTGTCCCTCCATTCCCTCCTATGGCCAGTGGGGGCTGCCTGCCCTCGGCCCTGCCAGTGTTTTGCTCCTTTGCTCTTTTCATGTTAATTTATTTATTTCTCCTGCTCCTAAGCCAGTGTCCGAGCTGCCTGGGGGGGCTGTGGGAGGGGTGGCCCCTGGGGGAGCACGGGGCTGGTGCTGCCCTCAGTCCCTCCTGCACTCAGCTCCTCTTCCTCCTGGCTGAGGCTGCCCAGGGATGGGCAGGGGGACACGGCCCTGGCCAGCTATGACATCCTGCCCAGGGAGCCAGGTGGCCTGATATGGATTGTCAAGAGTGTTTTGTAGGGAAAAAATACTTCATGAAGTAATTCTGGCAAGGTGTACCTGACCATGCCCTGCCACGCTGGCAGCATGTGGCTTTGAGGCTGGCTTTGTGCCCCAGCAGCTGTGCCCACGGCTGAAGCTGTCCCCAGCACATGCCAGTGCCAGGGAAGGCCAGAGGGGCTCCAGTCTCTGCTGCTTCCTCAGCTCCCATAACCCAGCCCTGGCACCGGGCAGTGCTGCCAGCAGCTGGAGCTGGGTCAGTGGGGAGGGGTCTGGGGTGGGGGCACTGAGTGAGGGGGGAAGGCTGGAGCAGATCCCACCTGCTCCAGGGTGGCACTGGAGATTTCCTTGGTGGTGCTGCAGCAGCAGATCCTCTGCTGAGCCGGGAAAAAATGCATTGCCACAGCCAGTGTGCAGGAGGGCACAGGGGGCAGGAGGGACACCAGCCACCCCCCTGGCCTGGAGAACACCATCCTTGTGCCCCTGCCTGTCCTCACAGCAGTGTGCCTGCACCCCCAGTCCTCACTCACCCAGGACCTGCTACCACCCCCAACCTCTTCTCCCACTCCCTGTGGGTGCTGCTCCAGCAGAACCATTGATTTGAGTGTTTCTGCCCCAGTCCCTGCTGCAGGCAGGAAAAGCTGTGCCTGAAGGGGCAGTGGGTGCAGCTCCCTCCTGGGGACCCCCACACACTGTGCTGGGTGGGTCTGACCCACGGGGGACAGCACAGGGGGGTCTCTGGCTTTTAGGGTACTTGTTTTGCTCCTGCAGGAGCTGCCTGGGTTTGGGGTGCCAGGGGCTGAGCTGGCTGGTGCCAGGAGCCACCTGCAGAGATCAGGGAAGCTCCTGCTTGGAAGGACAGCAGCCGCTGCTGCCAGCCCAGCTGGGCACTGCCAGACCCCAGCCCAGGGCAGGCTCAGCACCCAAAGCACAAATGCCCCTCCCAGGGATGGGGGCAGAGCCTGTCCCTGTTCCCACGGGGACACATCCCCATGCACCCCGTTGTCTCCCCGATTCAATCCCTGCTGCTGCTGCCCCTGGCCAAAGCCAGGATTTGCTGGGACCATGGGGCAGCAGTGGCTCAGCCCCGGGCAGGGGCAGCTGCAGGGCCACACTGCTGTCCCTGGGAGTGACAAACAGGGGATGCAGGGATGTGCTGGAGCCACAGCAGCACCATCAGGAAAGGACAGGCTGTGCCAGGGCACAGCCAGGGGGGTCAGAGAGGGGCAGCCACAGGGGCAGAGCTGCAGCAGGCACTGGTTTGGGATTCCTGAGCTGCCTCCCCAGCCCTGTGTGGGGTCCACCCCTCAGTTTTGGGTTTTTTCACCACTGGATTAATGTTTGCAGCAGCCTGGAGACCAAAATCCTCAGATGAAGCCAAGGTGTGGTCAGGGGGCATCCCTGGGGGGCACAGGGCTGGCAGTGGCAGCCAGCTGAGACAGCACCCTACAGGCTGCTCTGTGCTCACATAAAAAAAGATCATTTAAAAAAAGCTCAGAAACCAACACAATGAGCTACAGAAATCACTGAGGATAGGGCTGAACTCCAGCTCTGCCTGCACTTGCTCCCAGGCTTTGCCCACAGCATCACCACCACAGGGGAGGCAATTTTTGTCCCTAGAAGTCCCCTGGCCAAGGCCAAGGTGTGGCAGCGTTCCCCAAAAACCCCAAGAGCTGCCTGAGCACTGCTGAAAACCTCTGCCCCTTCCCAGAGAGAAGGGAGCTGGAGGATGAATATAGTCTTTTTATTGACTACTTTTGAGTAGAACAAACTAAATACATCTGTAACAGTTTGGGTTCCTTTATACAGGACATTAAATAAGTTATGCACAGGAATGAAGTAACAAATTTCTATTACAGAATTAAATGTCAAAAAAAAAAAATAGAAACCTTAACCCAATGTCTTCCCACACCCCAAGTTCACATTTATCATTCCATCTTTTAAAAAAACGACAAAAAAGAAAAGAAGCAATCATTCTAATCGTGACTGTTAGTATTTCATTCATTTACACTGGGGTTAATTTTAATACACAGCCATCAACGTTGCATGAGAATTATGGAAGACAATCTATTTACAAGCAGCTCCTTCCAGCCCTGCCCTGCTCCCCCTCCCCAGCCCAGCCTGGCACTGCCACCACACACCCACAGCGTGAGGCTGGGGCTGCAGGTGAGGAGAGGACACCACAGCCACGTGGGACTGACCTGAGGCTGTTCCACAAGTGTCCCTTAGGGCAGGAAGTCCCTTCCTGACAGCCCTAGGATGGGCTGCTGCAGGTCAGGGTGGCTCCAGTGCCACCCCACTGGGAGCTGCCTCAATGCCAGTGTGCTCCAGCATCAACTCCTGGGGACAGAGGAGAGACATCCCCAGGGCACTGGAGCTGTGGGATTCACCTCAACACCAGGAGACCTTGTGGCTTTTTAATAAAACCTTGCAGACCAGCTCCATCCCACAAGAGCAGCTTCCCAAGGGGCCAGGGCTGGAGCAGCAGGTTCCCTGCTCACCCTCATGACAACTCATTACAGCTCCATTGTCACCCTCCAATTGAAAAAGTGATCAAAAATGAATTGGGAATTACTTGCCTCATTGGGCTCCAGCCCAGCAGTGGCACACACAGTCCCAAACACGGCTCTGCTGAAGAGAAGGATTTCTAGAGCCCCTGTGGGAGTTGGGAGCAGCTCCTGGAGGGCATGTCCCCTCCCTGCCACGGGCTGTGCCACTGCCACCCTGTGTGACACTCCTGGCCAGCCCTGCTGCAGGGCTGTGCTGTCACAGGCCTGCACTGCCCTGGGTCCCCCAGTCCCTTTTTCCACCCCACAGCAGGGACTCTGTGATGAACAGAGCTCCCCAGGCTGGCCCCCTTCCCCAGGGACCTCGTGATCCTCTAGTTTTGGGATCCTCTGATCCTGGGGTTTCAGGACAATCTCTGAAGGTGGATGCACATCCCTGGGCATCTCTGAATGCAGCACTGCAGGAATCCCCTGGAGCAGGGGATAAAAATCCACAAAGGACAGATACCCAGTCCTGCCTTTCTTTTACCAGTGTGAGTGGAGAGCACAGGCTGTAAACAACCTCTCACATCAGTGAGGCTCCCTGGGCTCAAAAACAACAGCAGGAACTCACAAACCAGCAGCTTCCAGGCAGTGAAAAAACAAAACAAGGGCCCCCAGGTGGAAAGGGCACCTGCACCCAGCCCAGATCTGCTGTGCACGTGTTCCCCCAGCAGAGGCCCCACCCAGGAAACACCCAACTGTCTGTCTCACCACAGACCAGGATGAAACCCAGGCCATCCAGCAGCACCTCCCTGCCACTGCCTCTTGTTTTAGAGCAGACAAATCCCCTCCTCCCTCTCTGCAACCCTCAGCTGCCAGCCTGGAGGCAGGAGAAGTGGGCTCAGCTTTTGCCATTGCACAGAGGATGAGATGCTCCCGCTGGGAAACTGGCTCTGGTCTGTTCACAGCAACAACCGGCCCACACAGCCACCTGAGAGCAGGCCAGCTGGCTGGGAGCAGGGAATAAACACGGATATTATGGAGGAAAGGTGGCAGAAGGAGGCAGTGGTGGCTCTGACACCTTGGGAAGCGAGTCTGAGCATGCCACAAGGACAGGGCTCCGTGCTTGGGTACCACACTATCAGCATCTCCGGCGCGTGCCAGCGCTCTCCCCCAAGTCCAGTTCCCTCAAGCATGTGCCCAGTGTCCCCCAGGTCCTGACACCGCTCTGGTGTCCCCCTGAGAGGAGCAAGGAGGTGCTGCAGGCGAGGCTCACCCAAGTCCAAGAGCCACAAAGGAAAAGGCAGGATGAGAGGGCAAAGCCGGAGGGTCGGCGCTCCGATGTGTCAAATATGTCAAGTGATAACAGTTGCTGCAGGGGGTTTTTCAGCTTCAAAACCCCAGGAACTCATCCAGTGGAGTGAAGCCAGGCCTCCCTCCTAGAGTCCGTTCGTGTCTACGGCTGTCACGGACGCTGGCGTGGAGGAGCGCGAGGTGGTGGCCGAGGTCTTCTCCAGGGCTGGGCTGGGGATGCCATCGAGGCTCTTGGCTGCCGCTGCCACCCGGCCCGTGGGCAGGGCCAGGGGCTTGCTCTGGCCATGCAGGCCCTGCCCACAGATGCGGTGGTGCCTCTCCCAGTCCTTGTGCTGGCAGAAGGAGCCGCAGTACCGGGCGATGTTGCAGCCGCTGCATGTCTCGCTGGCCTTGCGGCCGCAGTTCCAGCAGCTCTGCAAGACCAAAGACACTGTGCTTGAAAGGGGTTCACAGGATCACAGAACCATGAGGCTGGAAGAGACCTCCACGATCATCGAGTCCAACCTATGCGCTAACACCCCAACTAGACTACAGCACCAAGTGCCATGTCCAGTGTTTTTGTAAACACATCCAGAGATGGTGACTCCACCAACTCCCTGGGAAGAGCATTCCAGTGCTCTATTATTTTTTCGGTGAAAATTTTTTTTCCTAGTATCCAACCTATACCTCCCCTGACATAGCTTGAGACTGTGTCCTCTGGTTCTGTCAGTGCTGCCCGGTGGAAGAGACCGACCCCCACCTGTCTAAACCTCCCTTCAAGAAGTTGTAGAGAGCAATAAGGTCACCTCTAAGCCTCCTCTTCTCCAGGCTAAACAACCCCAGTTCCTTCAAATGTTCCTAATAAGGCTTGTGTTCCAAGCCCCTCACCAGCCTTGGTGCTCCCCTCTGGATGTGCTCAAGC